TCTTCTAGTGAGCAAACTTCTTAAGGACAGGTATTTTCCACACTCATCCATTGTTCATGCTCAGAAATCCCAAGGGAGTAGTTGGATGTGGAACAGCTGGATGGACTCCATTCCTATTTTTGCTAAGTGGATGAGAATTGAGATCAGAAATGGTTTTGATACCAGAATTGAAGACTTTAACTGGGTCCCTAAGCTCTTAAAGCCTGCACCATCCTTAATCCCCATTGCAAGAGGTCATCTGTCTGGGTTAAGGATTTGCTGCTCACCAATGGTCACCAATGGAATGAGTGGTTGATTAATCATGTGTTTGATGAGACTGAAAGCAAAGCAATTCTGCAAATCAATACTCTTAATGCTAACAGAAGTGATAGAGTCTTCTGGGGGTTGGACAAGAAAGGCACATTCTCTGTTTCCAGTACCTACAAGCACCTGTCTGCTTCTAAATTATTGAAAGAGGATTCTCCTCAATGCAGTAATGCACCAACAATCAAGCAAGGAACCAAACTCAGGTTTTGGAAACTCAAGATTGCAGGTAAAATTAAAATTTTTCTTTGGAAATGTCTGAACAATGCCATCCCAGTAGCTGTGCAGTTTTTGAAAAGAGGGTTGGTTCTGGATACTACTTGTGCCATGTGTGGAGAAGGACCTGAAACTGTTGAGCACTTGCTTCTAAACTGTGCAAGAGCAAAGAGATGCTGGGACATCTGTCCAGTTCAGTGGGATGGCATTAAGGATAGGTCTGACCACTTCCCAGACCGGTGGTATCAACTCTGTTTGCTGGAGTCTTCTGAGGTGGCTGAAGCACGCATACAATTATATACCTATATGCTTTGGTGGCTTTGGAAGTCCAGGAATATCTTGATTTTTCAAAAGATCATGATCCCGGAGCAGGTCCTTGTTAGAATGGCTCATTTGGACTGGCTGGAATTTTCTTCTGCAGTTTCTTAGTTTTTCTGTTTCTTGGTTTAGTTCTTTTTTTTGCAGTCTGGTTTTTGTTTTGTTTTTCTGGGATTAGTTCTTCTGGCTAGGCTCTTGCAGTGGGCGGAAGTATTTCTCCTTTGTCTTGCTTTGTTTGCTTAGTTCAGTGCTTGAGGTTTTAGTTGAGGATTTAGACCGTCGTGGACGTGTCTCTCATGTTTCTCTTTAGTTGAGTTGTATCTTGTATTTGTACATTGTATTCCCTTTGTTTTCAATAGTTATCCCTGTCGTTTCGGAAAAAAAAAAAACTATTTTTCCACACCAAAAATTATTATTATTATTATTATTATTATTATTATTATTATTATTATTATTATTATTATTATTATTATTATTATTATTATTATTATTATTATTATTATTATTATTATTATTGTGCATTGAAGAGAGAAAAGTGGGAGATTGATTGTTTTTAATTTTACAAGATATCTATTAATTATAAAGTATTATATTAAAAATTTAATACAACTTAAAAGGTATATTTTTAATATTACCAATCTCATAATTACTCATAACATAATAAATAAGGGTTGAAATAATATAATATATTAATATACATTGGCATAAACTTACTCAAACTACTTTTTTAGAACAAATAATTGTTATGTAGGAGAGACAAGAAACAACTAAAAAATAATTGAGAATATGATATAATAAAATGTGGAAAGCAAAAATAATAAAATTATATTTTGCACAAAAAAATATAAAAATAATCGAAAAATACTAAAATATATTGATACGTATAACTTGTGTCGCGAGTGCGCAAAACGTAGTAAGAACGTGATGTAATAGTGTAAATAGCGGAAGCAACAATCGAAGATTTAAAAACTCTTCAGGAAAGCGTCTCACTTCTCCTTAGAGCTCTTTCATTGATAAATCGTAACACAACATAGTTTGGACTTACAAGACTCCAACTCTCTTCTAGTCTAGCCACAACTATACACGATCCTATCAACTAATTCTTCGGCCACGTCTCGTGGACTTTTTACTAACACTTAATCCCTAAGTGTACAATACGAAGTGTTTGAATGGAATATGAAAATAAGAAAACAAAACAGCTTCAGTTCTCCAACATGTACGAACGCTGAAAAACAGAAATGTGAACAAAAATGAAAGCTAAACAAAAACTCTTGAAGCTCGATTATTGCTCTCGTGAATAATAATTGCAGCAGCCGCAAATCGATCTTCAAGGTATGTATATATACAGTTCCTTAGGGTTGGAGTCTTCTCCAAGCATAGAACTCCTTCTTGTGGTTTCCTTCCATAAATAAAACTAGAATTATAGTAAGTGTAGATCTC